GCCTCCTCAACTGTTCTGAAGCTATCCTTAAGTGTGATTCGACGGTTATTAACTACAGATGACGCCAAAATACTTGATCTTATCAGAAAACACAGCAACAAAAGCCTATAAATAGAAGCCCATGATCTTCATTAGAGAGGATCTAAAATCAGAGAGCGAGGTGCTGTCAATTTAAACAGTAGACCATGGATTTCGGAGGAGAATTGGCAGATCTTGGCGAACTTTTTCATAAAGAAAAAACCTTCGAAAGATTTGAGATTCTCTCACCATCTTTCCTCCGGATTAAACTTGGTTTTAATCTTGAGAAGAGCCACAATCTCGCTTGGTCGTGATTGTCGCTGTTGCGATTGTTTCCTTCGTGGAGCAAGAGCATAACTATTTTGCCAACCGGATCTGATCTACGATGGTCCATGGACTAACGCGTCCTCAGCACAGGTAAAGATCTCACGCAAAGTAACAAGAGATAAACTACTGCTGCGTTTTATTGGAAAGAGTTGTAATTTTTACTTTTAATTGTGTAAGATCTTATAAAAAGATCAAAATTTCTTTCAGTTTAAACTTGTAATCGATAAACGGTGTAATAGGTTTAACAGCAATGGAAAAAGCAACTTTTGACGAAAACAAACTGGCGACCACAGTGGGAGCCGACAACCTTTCTGTGAAGGCTATAGTGTCACAACAAGGGATCCTCATACCGGTTAATGAAGAGGTTGAATACAAGTTCGACTAACAGAAGTATGAAGAGTATATGTCTTCCTCCTCCAGATCATCTTCCCCTCAGAAGAGCAAGATGATCTCCTCCACAAGGAAAGTTCACTGGTCTTTAGATCTGAAGACCCAACATGATGATCTTTGCCCCATCGCTGCTGCAGTTGCATCTCCCAACGCTCCTATGATGTCTGAAGAAGTTGGATCTTCAGATCTGAACTCCTCCTTGGTCAAGGAGCTCACTACTGAAGGTGCCCTAACTCTATCGAAGAGAGCACGTCAAAGGCAATGCCAGTGCCTTGCACGCCAACTTGCCAAGGCTTTGGAGCCAGTTGACGTGATCCACTATGAGTCGGACTTGAGGTTTAGGAAGCACCAAACGCCACAACAGCGAGCGATCACCTCCTCCTCCAAACCAGCAACAGATGAGTGGGTCCGTGTTAAAAGGACCCGTTCAACCATTAAGGAACACATTCAGAAGCACCGCGTATTGCTTGTGCATGCAAAAATCATTATACAGGAAGACAAGAAACTGTAGAAGGAAGAGGTGGCCCAAAAACCACCAAAACCACACAAAGTATGGAGAAAAAAAGGCCAAAACAACGCCTAAAATCGTCGGAAAACCAAAACTGCCACATACTGGCTCGGCCAAGGCCGAGTCACCAAATGTAGACTCGGCCAAGCCCGAGTCACCAAATGGAGACTCGGTCAAGGCCGAGTCACCAAATGTGCCCGAGCCACCAAGGCCTGTCTCACCCCCGTTTCACCTCCCGTGGTCATTTTCGAGTCTCCGATGACCCCTGTTCCTGTCCCGACAAATCCCACACCTCTGATGGAGCTTCACGATAGCGTGGACTTATCCTGATTCAAAATGAAGATTATAGATCATCTCGGTCATTTTCATGAAGGTCGAGGCGAAACTCTGATTAAAGAACGCTTGTGTCCGGCGAATGAACCTCAAACAACTCATCAGACTAGGGGTCATACGCGTCCTCCTAATAAGTCAACGACCTCTCATGTCGAGAAAGTACCTGTAACTGCTCGTCTCGGATTACGAGTTGAAATCCAAGAGCCCGTTGGGGACTCACTCTCACAAAGACGTGGTTCCAAACGAGTGACTCTTGAGAACGCCAATGAGGTGTTATATCCCCAAAGAGAAGCGTGTTCGTCAGAAGATGACGACATTAGACTTGGAAAATCATACCCGCACATGATAGGTTGCTCCGATAATCATACCGATGAGTTGTACTATTGGACTGGGGGTACGGGCAAATCTCAAAAGAGAAATACCCAGGAAATGGATTCTCACTGTCCGTGTACCCAGCTTATCAGGGCAGTATTATCAGAGTGTAGCTGCCCTAAGACTGCTCCACAGAGGGTCTCAGTATTTGAAAGACTTTCTACCGAAACATCAAGGCCTAAGACTTTCTACTCCTCGTACTTCTGCTGGTCGAACTCATACTCGACCTCCTCCACGACCGGGATCGAGATCCGCGGCTGCGACGCTCCGATCTCGGCAGCGAGATCGGTGGCTCCCACTGTGGTCGCCATATTATTCACGGTGAAGATCGTTGCTTTCTTCACTGATTCCATTGCTATCTTGAATAACAGTTTTTTTCGGTTACAGAAGATCCGGTCTTTTTTAGATCCGGTTACAATGAAAATCAAAAAAAAAAAATAAAGAAAATTACAACTCTTTCTCTTTTGTCGAACAGATCGCGAGCTCCTGTTTTGCGGTTGCTCGCTTTGGTGGGTTGTTTGCCTACGCCGGGGCTGTTTGCCGTGGACCACCGCGCGATCTAGATCCGAGTAGATCTACGCAGTATAACGGGTATTATTTCACCAAGGAAATAATAGCCGGAGGGATTATTTCACCAAGGAAACAATCGCTCGAATCTCGGGATCAAAGACCAAGCTTTGATCCGGAGTGTAACAACGTAGATCTGAGATCTCGATCCCCTCGAACTCCTGCCTTTTGTGATGCGGGTGCTCGCCAAGAATCAGATCTGGACGTCCAAGTCTTCAAGCCTTCAAAAACTCTAAGATGAGGTCTCAATCCGGCAGAGTTTCGGCTCTCCAAAAGTTCTTCCCCAAATCCTCCAAAATGATGAATAACCTTGCCTATTTATAGGCAACCAGATCTGTGCATTTGGCACAGATCTGGGTGGCCACCTCAGGGTGGCTCGGCTTATGCCGAGGAGTAACCGTCTGGCTCTTCTTGGGAGAAGGTTACCTCCATCGGATTATAGATGCTATGGTTGGGCTTCCTCACTAGCCAAGGGGTGGTGGGCACGTATGACCAGTTTCGTCTTGGCGCGCTGGGAGAGGGATTTGAAGAGCAGTGGGTTGTATGCACCTATACGAGCCACCATGTACGGAATCCCGGTCAGCTGCCGCCATTTCTTGGCGTTGCTAGAGACCTATATGCCTGACAGTAACACCTTCCTGACCAGCGGTGGCGAGTTAGGGTTGGCCTTGCATGAGATGCATCATGTTTCGGGTCTTCCGATGGGGGATTGTCCGTATCAGGAGTACTTCCCCTCGAACCAGCAGTTGGAGTGTATGAAGAAAGATACTCCCGATATGTATGACACTCTCTGGGATCTTACTTGTCACTATTATACCTCCTTGGTCCAGACTTCTGCTCTAGCGAAAAGGAAGAGGCAGATCAGCTTGAAGCAGTTTGCTAGCTATTTGTTCCAGAATTTGGAGGGTAATTCCAGCGAGCCCATTCATGAATTAGACGTGTTGACCCCTACCGCCGTTAATGAGTTGTTGGAGAAGGCTGAGGCTCGTTCTTACACCATTGCCAGTGCTGAGGGAGCTTTTCCTGCGGGAACCAAGTTTCGTTCTTTTCTCTGCCGTGCACAGAACTCCATTGGGCCCCGGACTCTACTAGCAGGCTACCTTGCCCTTTGGTTGAAGAAATGTGTTGTCTCGCACCAGCCTTCAGACGCTCTACCTGTCGAGGTGCTCTTCCCTGCAGTTCAGCTAGCTTACGGGAGAGAGCTTTCCCTGCTCCCAGCGATGGTTGCTGGCATCCATTGCGGGCTTAGGTGTCTAGTCAGCAGTTTTACACAGATGGGTTCTGAACCATCGACTGAGCTTATTTGTCCGAAGGTCGAGCTTCCTTACGCATATCTGATGGCGTGGCTCGTTCTTCACCGTCCTGACTTAATGTCGGCGCCCAGCGTTGTTGATGTCCCCGTTCCTTTCATGCAGCTATTGGAGAAGAGCAGATGGCTCGGGAACAAATTCAGTGATGTTCAACGAGAGCTTCGAGTCCGTAAGAGCTGGGAGTTCTTCAAGTGTTTTCCTCACTTTTCGGGTCGCTATGGTGACGTGCTGATTGACGAGGAGAAACCTAGAAGTGACCGGACTGTTCTTGACATTGGTTGTTTCCGCTGGTTAGTGAACATCCGCGTTCGGTATCTTGTCCTCCGGGTGAAGAATCAATGCCACATAGAGCCTTACCTTCCCTGCCGCTTTGCTCGTCAGTTCGGCTATGACCAACTATTGTTTGCGCGAGCATGGCTGTGGACTATGGTGGGCTGCACTGGAGCCCATTTTGCTCTTCCTTCCTATAGGCGTAAGCCGCTGACCACTTTCCTTAGTTGCAAGTGGTTCCTTTCCGCCTATGAATCCATAGGTGTGAGGAGCCTTTCAGAGTTACAGTCCGAGCACTCGGTCCGGGCTGCTATGATGGCTGCCCGCAGGGCTGAGCTTGCTCAGAAGCGGAGAAAGGGGTATGCCAAATCTCTTTTCACAGATGATGAAGAGCTCCTTCCTACGGGTGACGACGACGAGACCTCCGAGGAAGAATATGTGGATGCAGATACCGACAGAGGAGAACTCGATACCGGTTTGTCCTGCTTCTTCGATTTTCCTTCTCCATTCTAATTGGTATAAACGACAGCTCTTGTTTGTTTAATGAAATGACCATTGTCACTTTAGGTAGGACAGTTGACGATCATGAGCCGCCAGCTCCTACACACGTTGAAACGTGTGACAGGCCTGTGCATGACCGACCCGTTAGTCCTCGGAGGGTTGGTGCCCCGAAGAGGCAGAAGACCGCACATAAACCCCACGACGGTCAGCGTCCTTATGGAGTGGACTTAGGAAGCACTGCCGATGGAGGGGAAGGTAACATTTTATTGCCATTGCTTTAAGGTGATTTACCTTTTGGGATTAAGGTGATTTTCCTTTTGGGATTCGTAACCATGTTTTATGCTCCAGGGTTCTTCGAAGAGGGCGAACTCCCACCGGGTCCGGTATCTCCTGGATCTGATAACATGGATTGCTTTATGCAGCAGATGTGCGACGCCCTTCATGACGGGTCTCTGGGCATCGATCTAAACATTGATCTTGGGCAAGTGAATAGTGTTGAGTCCACCGTCCCGTATTCAGGTATATCTACATCCAATGATACCCTCCTCAATCATGGGGAAGGAAGATCTTCTGTTTTTGCTGCAAGTATTTTTAAGCTTTCCTCATCTTTCCAACATTCAGGTTACCCTGCAGATGTCGCGATGGAAAGGCCAGCTGAGGATGGAGCCTATCATGATGCAGGTTTCGAGGAGAGGGGGTGTGCTCCTGTACCAAGCTTCTCGAAACCCGATGCTGGCTTATTAGCTGACATGCTGGCTGAACAGACTACCAGAGGAACCGAGAGACCATTCTTTGGGAGTGATTCATTCACATGTATATATCTGATCCCCTTCATCTTGCCTGATCTTTTGTCTGACTAACGAAGGATTAATATTACAGCACCATTCATTGGGATTAGCCCAATATCGATTCCTGGTATATCTAGCTTACCTCGGAGTGACGGGCTCGCGGGTACGCATACGATTTAGGGATATCGTACTTCTCTAAGTTTATCTGACTTTTGACTAATATATGAGTGCAATCATAGGACCAGCCACCGGGACTGATTCTCTTATGACTCCTGGCATTCCCCAGATACCTACGGATGATGGACCTACAGGTATGCAGATGACCTTATCATCCCAATCTTCCTTATTTGTCTAAATTTTCATTTTGACTAATAAAGAAGTACCATTATAGGACCAGCCGCTTGGGCCGATACCCTTATGACTCTTGGCATTCCCGCTGCATCTGAGGACGGTGGGATTGCAGGTATGCATACGATCTTTTTGTCCCGATTCTCCTTATTTGTCCAAATTTCCATTTGACTAATACAGGAGTGTAACTATAGGACCGGCCGTTGTGCCTGATACTACTACAGTTCCCGGGGCTGAAAGTCTACATAGAAGTGGCGTCTCCCCGCCCTTGCCGAGTGGTATGAGCAATCTGCCTACAGGGGTTAATATACCCTCCATGACCACTTCTGCCGTTGTCTCAGAGCCTGTCGGACCTCAGCCTGAGGGGACCTCCGTTGGCGTTGGTATGCTCAGAGTTTGCCTTTGAATTTCCTTATCGTATTCGATAATCTACTGAACTTCTATGTTGTTGCTTGAAGGATCTCGATCCTCTCTTTATGAGCGTGTCCGTGCCCTTTTGGTCGATACTGATCCTGACAGAGACATTTTTCGTACGGACCTCGGCTTCTTCACTGCCTTTTATAACGGCATGATCGAGAAACTTCTTCATAGAGGATACGGTTTTGATCAGTTCAGGCGTTCCTTTTCTCGCCACATGATGATGATGAGGGAAGAAGGATACCCGGAATTGGCCAATTCCTTCACCGCCGATTTCGCTGTCCTGGAGTCAGAGATCCGAGAGTTGAAGGAATTGGAGATTAATGGGGCTTCTTCTTTCGTGTCCTCTCAGCTGGAGCATAGGCTGGCACAGTGGCGTGACCTGAGATCTTCCATCGGATGCGAGCTTCAATCACATGAGAGTTCCGTTGCGCAGCTGATGGCTACCGTAGCGAGGAAAGACACGGATAGAGCTGAGCTACTCCCTCGAGCCGCGAGGAAGTGACTAGGTTGAAAGAGGCCTTGAAGTGCGCCGAGGAATCTGCTGCTCTTATTGCAGATGACCTGGCTGGTCTAGAGCGTTCTCGTGAGCAGGCACTCGAGAAGCTAGGATCCACTCAGGAGAGACTGATGAAGCTGAAGAGTGAAGCCGCGAAGATCTTGAGTAGTTCTGAAGAATCTGCTCGAGCTGATCTGCAGGCAGAACTCGAGCGGAGTTATGTAGATAGACTTTTTAGTTTAAAGTCTCATATCCTCGACCGCCAACTGCCTTCGGGCTAACGAGCTTTTTATTGTATGCTTTTGACTCGATCTATTAATAGAGACTCCGCATTTGCTTCTTTTGTGATCTTTCTGTATTTATTCTGAATGACAAGGTTTATGGGATTTTTGGCAAACCCCCAACCATCAACGGGTTTTAAATGTCTTTACCGATTACCGTTTGAAATAGGACTAGCATGTGAATTATTAAACCCATCTCACATGTAACGTTGTGCTAAGAAAATCGCTTTTCTTAGACTTGATGCTATGATTTTGAATACATAGACTTAACCATTTCTTATAGGGAAAAGGCACCCTGCACCGCGTATTAGGCGATGACTTATCCCTTCTTAGGCTTCGGGATAAAATTCCCCAGGTTTAGACCCTGGAGTCTTTTTCAATCGGCGAAAGATTAAACCGGCCATGTGTGTTAGACATAGACTTTGGAATTTTTGGCAAACCCCCAGCCTTCAACGGGTTTGATGTGCCTTTACCGATCACCGTTTGAATCGGGCTAGCATGCGGATTGTCTAGATCCGTTCCACATGTAACGTTGTGCTAAGAGAGTAAATCCTCTGAGGCTTTGTGCTATGATTTTGAATACATAGGCTTCACCCTTGTTACGTTCGAACGACACTACCTTTTATAGGATTGGTCATTTGAACCCAAAGAACCCCTCATTCATTGAGGAGAAGACCCAATTTCAACCCTAACTTTTATAGGTTTGGTGGAAAAAGGGGACAAAGGTGGATTTTCGTTTATCGAAAAGGAGTGACTCGACTTTAGTCTTGACTGTGTGTAGGCTTGACTAAGCGAGATCGGAAACAATCCTAACTTTTATAGGTTTGACTGTTTCAAGTGGACCTCTCGTTCATGGAAGGAATCGAGAGGGGATTTTGGCTTTGGTCCTAACTGTAGGAAGGTTTGACCAAACTGGAGTTTGAGATGACCCTAACTGTCGGAAGGTTTGATCACTCGATTTGAAAGTGGACCTCTCGTTCATTGGAGGAATCGAGAGGGGATTTTGGCTTTGGCCCTAACTGTAGGAAGGTTTGACCAAACTGGAGTTTGAGATACGCCAATGACTGGCAGATGGAAATGTTGGTGGGTCCACTGTCGTTTGATTTGATCAGCGGATGGTTTGGTGAGGAAAGATTAACCTATCAGAGGATTAGATCTCATCTCACAAAAGTAACTCATAAGAGTTGGAAAATTTTGATGAGAATAAGAAGAGACATTCTGACCTTCAGAGTTCGAATGCAGATTTCTTACTCGTTGATTCCACAATGACCGGGTTATCCCTAAGAATACCCATGTGGTATTCTTCCGGGAACTTCCCGATGCATTGGTTATCCAAAAAGATACTAAGGATAGTATCTTTTCAGGAATTTGCCGTTTATCGGCATCATGAGCCGGTCGCCGTCTTTGGTGACAAGGCGATATGCGCCACTCGAGTAGACTGTCTCCACTACGAATGGTCCCTCCCATTTGGGTTCGAATTTACCCTTCTTCTTGGAGTTTAGGATCATAGGCCGTTTCACAGCTAGAACCAAATCTCCTTCTTTGAAACTCCTTTGTCGAACCTTTTTGTCGAAGGCTCGAGAGATTCTAGCTTGGTAAAATTCAATGTGTTGTTGAGCTTCCAGGCGCTCTTCATCAAGCCTCTCGAGTTCTTCGAGGCGTTTCTGATGTTGTTCTTCGGTCGTCATCTGGGTTGAAAGAGCGATCCGAAGAGATGGTATTTGGATCTCCAATGGAAGAACAGCTTCACATCCGTATACTAGTGAATACGGGGTCGCTCCCGTTGGTGTGCGCACCGTGGTCCGATAGGCCCATAGAGCCGCGCCAAGCTTGTCATCCCAGTCTCGTTTATTAGTTTTCACGATTTTTGACAAGAGTTTGATGATAGTCTTGTTGAAGGCTTCAGCTAATCCATTTGCTGTGGGATTATAAGCCGTTGATGAGATGTCCTGAATTTTGAATTTTTCGCAGAACCTTATGAAGGCGTTGCTGACAAACTGAGGACCGTTGTCATGTATGATTCGTCTTGGAACACCATACCTATAGATGATGTGGTGCTTGATGAATCCAATGACGTTGCTCGTCTTAACTTCTCTGAGTGGAATTGCTTCAGCCCATTTGGAGAAGTAATCGGTAATCGCCAGGATGAACCGGTCGCCTTTGATCGAAGGGGGATTTATAGGACCAACAATGTCCATTCCCCAAGTCTCGAACGGCCATGACGTAACCGAAGGATGCAGATGCTCCGGAGGTTGATGCATATAATTCCCGTGTATTTGACATGCATTACACTTTCGGGCATACGTGATTGCATCACTCATCATGGAAGGCCAAAAATACCCCCATTCTTCTGATGCGATCATAAAGCTTGGGGCCAGGCTCGTGCGCGCCACACTCCCCTTCATGTGCCTCTCTAAGCACTTCTTGGGCTTCTTTGGTTGATAGGCAACGCAATATCAGCCCATCGTACCCCCTGCGGTATAGCGTTCGATTCTCCGTATTATAGTAGAATCTTGGTGCTCTTCGTCTGATTGACTCTCTTTCCTTCACATCTTCTGGCAAGATTCCATGCAAGACGTAGTCGATGATGGGGAAACGCCAATCTCGTGGTTCGAACTCGATTTGAGTAGCGTGCGCCTCTTGAACCTCTTCTTCCTTGGCATCTTCATTGTAAAGCGGTATTAGGAGTTGGTGAGTTCTTACCGTAACAAACTGCTCTGTTTCGGGAGGTTGTGCCAGAGATACGGCCAATGCTGCTAACGCATCTGCATAGGTATTCTGTAGTCGTGGAATATGTTCGATAAAGAATCCTTCGAATGATTCTGCCATCTCTACTGCCATCTTATGGTATGGTATTAAATCTTGGCTTCGAACCTTGTACTCTCCTTGGACTTGTTTAACTATCAGTTGAGAATCGCTGAAGGCTTCGAGGTACTCCACCCCCAGTTCTTTAGCAAAACTGAGTCCTATGAGTAATGCATTATATTCGGCTACGTTATTTGAGCACGGTTCAGTCAACGAATAAGCTCGAGGCATCACGTGTTTTCCCGGGGAAACTAAGACAACTCCCACTCCGGAAAATAGCTGCTCGGGAAGCGCCATCGAAGTACAAACGCCATACTTGTTGGTGCGAAGTTGCGTTGACTTCGTGGGCTTCATCGGGTAGATCGTCATATATCTCGGCGGTGTCCGTAGTTGGATTAGCTGCCAGGAGATCACAGATGGCCTGCCCTTTTACTGACTTCTGTTGTTTAAAATGTAAGTCGTATTGGAACAAGAGTAAGGCCCATTTTGCTAATTGCCAGCTCATGGAAGCTAGTTGAGTCATGAATACTCGAACCGGATTAACTTTAGAGATAACATAAATGGTCTGCCCGACCAGATAATGTCGCATCTTCTGAATAGCGAATACCAAGGCGAGGCATTCTCTCTCAATCATAGGATATCAAGATTCGGCGCCTACCATGGTTCGGCTCAAATAATATATTGCCTGCTCATGACCGTTATCGTCATCTTGCGCAAGTAGTGCACTTAATGAGTGGCTCGTTGCCTTGACATAAATCAAGAACGGTTTGCCCGATTTCGGTGCAACGAGTACAGGAGGTTTCGAGAGATATTCTTTAATACTCTCGAAT